AGTTGGAAGAACATGCGTCCATGGCTAAGGCAGGATTCAAGGAGTACCTTCAGGAGCTGGAAGGCTTGAAAGAGGGGTTAACAGGCGCGGAAAAATTGATAGGGACTGCACGGCTTATGCTCTTAAAGATCCTGAGAAGTCAGGAACAACCCAGTATGGTAAAATTGGAAAATCCTCGAGAAGAAGAGGAAACAGGGCAGCAGGAAAAGAATACCAGGATGAAGGCACTCGCAGAGATAGACCCCACAAGGATGCGGGAAGAGATCCTCTCCACAGTCAGGGAGTGCCTGGATCAGAGATGGGGGCAGTGGGCGAGCCAGTATACAGTAGAAATGAACTGCCGGGGGAAGAAACTAGGGAAGCTTACCAGCAGGTATGACGTTGGAGCATTGACAGTACCAGAACAGGTGCAACAGAGGGAAGTAGACAAGGGAAATGTGGTAGCAGTACAAAAGAGTGAGCCAGTCAGTGGGAGAAACAAGAACAGTGACCTAAGCTGCCCTGATCACACTCAAAAGGAAGGACAGCTAGAACAAGAAGGTCAGAGATCGAGGAGGGCACAGGCATGGGTATCTGGTAGAACAGGTACGGCTTCCAGAAGAGAGAGAGAGGCAGAACCTCTAAGTAAAAGAGAAGTCCAAAGGCCTGAGATGGACCGGAGGAGCCGAAACCCCAGGGAAACTAAGTGGGGAGGAGAAGTACATCTCAAGCTCTACCCAAAGGATGAGAAACCCAGCCCTGCACAGAAGCAGAGACCGTGCCAAACCCAGACTGCAGGCCAAACTAAAGAGGCAGAAGGCCCATCGACAACAAAGGTAATTTGGTGGGAGAAAGAACAGAGGGGAGGAAGACGGCCATGTGTGTATGTTAATAACCTCCCAAGGCAAGTCAGATGGTGGACCCTAAGAAAAATAGTTGAAGCTAGAGTTGGGGGAGTAGTGTTTGTAAAAGTGTACACAGGGCCTGGCGGAAGATCTACTGGCCAGGGGAAGATAGAATTTTGGAGAGTGGAAGATGCCCAGCAAGCACTCAGGGTGCAGTGGGAGCTTTGGGGTAAGCTCATGGACTGGCAGGAAACCAAAGAGAGGAGGGATTTGTTACAAAGGACACAAAGAAGAGGAGATCTGGGACGCATGAAAAGGGACAAGACACCCCAAGTAGTAGGAGGCAGCTCTCCCAGGAAGAGAGAGGAGGCTGTCTCAAGTTGAGGGGGCTGTGGAAGAAAAGACGGTAGGCCTGAATTGCACCCTACCAGGGATGGCTAATGCGGGGGGACTACCTGTGGCAGGGTAACTCCCGAGAAATCCCACATGGTGCGCCCTGGGTAAAAGGCGAGGAGGAGGCGCCTGAAAACCTCCGCCTGCAACATTTGAGTCACCGGGTGCCAGAAGAAAGGCCGAGAAACCACAGAGGGACACGACACCTATGAAGATCCACCTCGGTGAGTCTAAAATCTTAAGCGGGGAGGTGTGTAGCAGGACACTAAGGTGCCCGCTACTGAGAGAGCCCGGAAGGCTCCTCAGGTGCTGGTTGCCAGGGCAACAGAAGGCAGAAAACGACCCACACCTGCCAGCGATCAGCTGGCTATAAGGGACAAGGCCTGGCTCTTATGAAGGGGGAGCTGAGGCCAGAGGCAGTTCCCTACCGGCATCCAGGACAGAAGGAGCTCCCTGCCAGCAGCCAGAGAGAGAGAAGCTCCTGGAGCAATGATGCGAGGAGAAGCCTGACTGCAGGTACCGCTAGCAGAGTAAAGGGTAGCAGCTCCAAGATGTCCGAGCAATGTCGTTACAGCCAGGTGGCTTATGTTTAAGTTGTAGCCAGGAGGCTCGAGTTTCTGTATCTGAGGACCCCAGCCCCAGTGAGGGCACGGAGTTCGGGGGTACAGACCCCAGCTCCAGAGCAGAGCCCGGTGAGAGGGCGGCCCTGCAGAGAAGGCCCCAGTGTGGGCGCAGAGAGTCCCAGGAGGGGGGCAGCATTACGGAGAAGCCCCAGTGTGGGTGCGGAGAGCCCCAGTGAGAGGGGCAGCATTACGGAGAAGCCCCAGTGTGGGTGCGGAGAGCCCCAGTGAGAGGGGCAGCAGTACAGAGAAGGCCCTAGTGAGAAGGGTGGCGTACAGAGAAGGAGCGCAAGGCTTAGATACGCAGGACACCCGGAGCAGGAGAACTGTGGCCAAGTGGAGGAGAGGTAGCCTCCCTATAAAAGCACATATCAAAGTTGTGGTGGGCGAGAATAGGAGGGTGCAAGTCCAAAGCTTGGCACAGTAGAGGCAGCGGCAAGGGCTAGCACGGCGACCCTGACGTCCCTCCTGTTACAGAGAATATGGTTTGCACATCGCCTGCCCAGCATGCAAGCAGGTTAAAAAGATTGGACCACCCCATGCGCCTCTTCAGACTATGCCTGTTAGAGAGACCCCCTTTGCCTGTGTTGCCAAGGATGTGGTGGGCCCTCTACTTAAAATCAGTGCTGGCCACAAGTACATCTTAATGTTTATTGACTATGCTATCCGTTACCTTAATGCTATACCACTCAGGACACTAACAGCCCCCTGCATCACAGAAGAGTTATTGAGGTAGATCACACAAGTGGGCATTCTTAAGGAGATACTGACCAACCAAAGCCCTAATTTTATATTGGGCATGTCGAAGGGAGCGTGCCAAACATTAGGGATCAAGCATCTGTGAACCTCTGTTCATCACCCATAGACTAATGGGCATGTGGAAAGGTTAAATGGCACCCTTAAAAGGATGCTGTGGCATAGTGCACAGATGGAAACCCATAAATGGGATCTGTTGCTCACGCCTCTTCTTTCTGCAATCAGAGAAATTCCTCAAGATCCTATTATAGGGGTGGGCTGATACCGATAGCCGATTTTTAAGGAGGCATATCGGCCAATACGAATCCGATTTCCAATACGCAGCTCTTCAGCTTCAAGAGTTGCATCCAGCTGCTAAGTCTGGTGTGGTGGAAGGGGAGGGAAGGAGTGTAGCGGGGCAGATCAAGGCCCCTGCAGTGAGGGAGGGAATGGGGCTAGAGCTGGGGCTGGGCTGCGCTGACCAGCAGGGGCGAGAAGGGGCATTGGACAGAGCCACAAGCAGCTCATCTGGGGGGCAGGAGGGCAGAAGCATGTGCCCCCCGGATCTGTGTGGCACAGGGCAGGCTGCAGCTATGGGCTAGGGTCAAGGCAAAATAGAGGAGAGGAAGGACGTGGGTAGCAGTGGGGCAGCTCCCGCCACTGCACACAGCTCATCCGGTGCTCATCTGGCGGCTCCTGCCGCTTGTCCAGGAGGGCAATGGGGGCGGAGGGGGTGCTATTTCCAATACAGAAACTCTTTATGAGTGACAATCCAATATCGGACTGATATATCAGTGCACCTGTACCCAAAGCAACTTAAATGGGGGATGTGTCATAGAGTGGCATGCCACATGTGCCAGCTCCGCTGTGTGTGGGTTCTGGGAGGCACGGCAGGATCCCAAAGCGATATGATAGAATGCCCAGTAAGGGGGGGAAATGGCCAGTACTTACCTGCAGGTGCAGAGCTAATGGAGAGACAGTGAGAAGCAGTGCTGTTGCCGTGGTTTAAGCACCAGCTCACTGAGGCTTCAGGGGCGTGCAGAACATGACATCACAGGTCTGCGCCCATTGCCAGGTGCAAAAAGGCAAGTGAAGCCAATCAGCCAAAGAGAGGAGAACACCAATACTCCATGATTTGACTAGGACAGTGGTAAGAAACCGTGCCAGTTCCCCAGCTGATACTGGAATAGAGAGCAGCACCAATAGAAGCCCCTGCCAGGCATGGTGAAGGTGCAGGCACTTTCTTAAATTAATTATTTTCTGATGGACTTGTCAAGATTAAGTTGAAAGCCATAGCCTTGTAATGTGGGTAAAGAGTCTCAACTCTAAGGGAGAGTAGGGCTCCAAATACAGGACACAAGTGGCGTAATTAACTGAAGCCAGGAAGGCAGAACATCCCGAAGTTGATGGAGGGAATGGTGTTGGACATTCACTGGCTATAAACTGATACCAAGTTTAATTTATTTGTTTAATATCAATGAATTAATTACTTTGTTTGTTTCTTGTTGTGAGTCTATGAATTAATTAGAGCTCCATGAGTTTGAGAACGCCTGTGGACTAATGATGGACTGTGTTAATGATGTACACCTTGTATAATGTCTAGGAAGGGCTAACTGTATTCAAAGGCCCTCAAAATCATTAATGGAATCCCGGAGTAGTTTACAGGTCTGACATCACACTAATTTAAGGAGGTCAGGAAGATCTGACTGTATCCACCTAGGGGCAGGAACATCAATGACTGTCAGGCCTTGGTTGGCAAGTGGATGGGGTATAGGGGAGGAGGCACTAACAACAGAAATGAACCCACAGGCTAGCTGTATCACACAAGCAGTAGCCAAATGTCATGATTTTTGGCGTTGTTCTTGAAGTCTGCACTTCAGGAATATGAAAAAAAAAAAAACTTCTCTCTCTCTCTCAAAGAAAGAGCTAAGTTTTTCACATTCCCGCAGTGTAGACTTTAAGACCAATGCTAAAAATTATGAGAGTTGGCAACACTGTACTAGGAACCTCCCTTTTACTTAAGATCAAGACATGGCGGGCGAACTGAGGGAACCTACCCATGCGTGGATAGACCACTTGACATACTTTAACATTTGAGCGAGGAGGCACCAAGCCAGGGCAGTACAATGCTGAATAGAAAGACACCTATACACCTGAATAGCAAAACCAGGTACATACCCAAAGAACCTTCTCTGCCAAATTCCATCAAGGATATTTTTGTTTAAAATATTTTACATTTAAAATAAAAATAACATCACTTGTAGTGATAAAGGAATTACATTTGGAGGCTATCAATTTTGACAATATCCTGTTAACTCCCAGTTAACATTATCTACATATTTTAGAAAATCCTTAGCTAGTTTGTAGTGTGAGTTCTCAACAAATCTAAAATTTGTTTTAGGCCAATATATAATGACATGCAGCTTACCTCTTCAAGTGACTGAAGCAGTTTATTCACCTGGGTAAAAGCCTGGGGAAGTACACCATCATAGTCTGATCTTGAGCTGAAACCATGTAATAGTTTTTTGGATTCCCGGAGCAGGGTACCAGCTATTAAGGAATCAATCATTTTTCCTGGTAAAGGCATTAACATGGAAAATGAAATAGTTTTACAGAAGGTAAAAATAACAAGCCCCAAGAACCTAATTTAGTTTATTACAATTAAGCAAGCAATAATGAAACTGGCAATTCCAAGCTGTACCCAAACATAAATCATTACCAGGACTATCAATTCAAAGACGTTACCATACTACTTAGAAAAGTAAAGAATCCAAAATATTACATTAATAAACACATTATGAAAGATTACTTTCAGAGAATATGAAAATCCTATAGATTTAAGGAGTGAAATGTCAAAAGTACTTTACAAGGTTCAGTAGGCATAATTCCATTTCCTTTTTAAAACAAAGAGCACCAGCATACTACCACAATTAAGACAAACCAAAAATCTGAAAAAACCTTTATGTTTTGACTTTCATGAGTAGTAGTAAAAATATTCCTTTTATGTAGTCAGTATCTGGATGTATCTGAGAACACTTTTGTTTCCTCCTCCCCTCTGATTTTTGGCATAATTCAAAATCGAAAGTTCTTTTTGTCCAAAATGTCATTCAGATACTGGCAAGAATCCCAGTTTTCTTAAGCTGGAATTACCCTGTAGGAAAATCTAAAATAAAAACTTTCTCCAAGGTATAACTTCTTCCAATAGATGGTGTCAGGGGTTTTCAACCTTTTTTATTAAGTGTACCCCTGATAGCCCCCCCTTAATGAGTGTACCAGGGGGAGGGGAGGGGTGTGAACAGGCAGATGCAGAGCTGGGGTGGGGGGGCGGGAGGTGAGATAGCAGCACGGGGTGGCAGCACTCCACCCCCATGTATCCTATGGGACCTTTCAAAGTACCCCCAGGGGTGTGCATATGTACCCCTGGTTGACAACACCTGGACTGCGTAATTCACATTATTCTTAAATGAAAAGCAGAGAAATAACATACGCCTACCTTTCCACAATGCCTATATCTGTGATGAGAAAGCCTTGGGCTAAATCTAGGAGTTATGTTTAGAAGTTTATTATGACAGAAGTCACATAAGATTCTTACCCTTACAAAGATGATTGTGCAGGTATTCAATAGTTGCAAATAATCTCCTTGGCACAACCTGTCCAAATACAGCAAACCAATGTTTTTTATAGCACTGTAGCAAGTCTGCTAGTGTCCATGGGGGTTTTAGGTACAGTATCTAAAATTGAAAAGTAAAAAATGCACACACTTTCAATACAAATTCACTCTTTGTACATTTTATAACTCTGCTATTCTCTACTGCTATTTGTGTTTGCTGAAACAGGCATCCAAGGCATTCTCCAAAATGAAAAACAAGGCAATTTTTTTCTGGTGAGGTGGGCACCTATAAAGTAACAAATCCCTGTCTTGTTCAGTTAACTTTCTAAATGGTATCTAGTTTCTACTGTGATACAAGCAAGCATTTCATCTTTGTGAGACACAGTGAATGAGTAGGGATCTCTTAATTTGCGATTTCACAGAAACTGCAAAATTGTCTACAAAAAACGTAGAAAGAACAAAATGCTGGTTCCCCAGTGGGAGCCAGCAATCCTCGCTACCTTGCAGCCCACCCAGAAGGGGCAGGAACTGGCTGGCAGGGTGGCACAAAGGTCAACCAGCAGCCAAGATGGCAGACACCCCCTCATCCCTCCTCCCCCCACCCCCAGGGCCTCTCCGCCAATCAGCAGCAAGGGGCAGGGCCGCTGGGAAGTGCCTGTGAAATTGGATCTTCATGCCACAACTAAACTGCGAAAATGCCTTTATCTGACCATGAATTAAATAAGTCCCTATGCACGAGTACAAAAATGTTATCTGGATTCCTTGGACATATTTCATGTATAATATACCCAGAAGATTTTTGAGTTCAAACAAGAAAGATTAATTGTTTTAACTCAGAGAGCTGGCATCTTTCTTCCTACACAAATGGTACAGCACTTCACTGTTACTCCCAAGAAAAAAATATTATAAACATCTTCACAAAGAGATTTTTTTGGGAAACATCTTCACAAAGATATAAAACACTGAACAACAGAACAGAAAGTATCAAGGCTACAGTCAAAATACCAAAATTCCAGCTCTGCCAAAATTCCTATGTAAACCAACAAAAAACTCACTCGCTATACTTCAGGTTCCCTATCTGAAAAAAGGAATAATCATAACTTCCCTAAACCCTTGTGACAATGAGATACTGGTGTTTGTAAAGTGTTTTGAGAATTCTTGAACACAACAACATTTTGGTACATATTACAAAAGTGTAAACTATCATTAGTAAGTTGTATACATTTTGAAAATTCATATTTTACCTCAGTGATACTGTATACTATTATAGTCATCAATATCAAAATATGCTGTGTGATATTCTATGCAAGTGGATGGCTCACGGGATTGAAAGAAGTAGATGCAAAAATCTTTTGCTTTTAGTTTACTGGTTCAAAAATCCTTCAAGGTTAGCAGTGACCATAAGAAGTCAAATGGGTGTTCGGTGGCCCATGCAAAATGAGCGCGTGTTCCTAGCCCAGGGGTAGGCAATGTTTTTTGACCAGAGTGCCAAAAAACCCCACAATGCTTAGCTTGGAAGGTGTCGGAGTGCTGGCATACCAGAAAAACAAAATGAGGGCAGGGGGTACATGGCAGGATGCCCTGCTTGTGCCTCTTGCCCCCCACCCAAAGCCCCTGCCCCCCAGCCCAGGCTCCGTGGCTGTCAGCAACTACCCGGAACCTGGGCCAGCTGCAAACATCTGCTGCCTCTTTGCCCTGGCCCCAGCTGCCTCCCAGCCCCAGACCCGGCCATGCTCAGCATGCGTGCCAGGGGTTGCAGACCCCTGTCCTAGCCCAACACCCAGTAGAAAGCTTTCCATACACCACCACGGACATCAACGTTGACATCCATTTTGGCACATTATCAAAAGAGGGCATTAGCTTAGAGACCAAATTACTTAACTTTACAAACTATTCCTTCAAGTACAATTGAGCCCTACAAGTATAGCAATGAAGACTGTAGGGCTGGGGTGAGCACAAGTATGCATCTACTGCTGTTGCCTACGTTGAAGCTGTCCTACATGTATCAAGACATTAAAAAAAAAAAAAAAAAGAAACCTAACATCATACATACCAGAACTTGTGTTAAACTGACACAACTAATTCTCTATCCTGATTTAAAGATACTGCTAGGAAGCCACTAATGAAAATGCTAGTCTTGTTTCAACTTTAATTATACAGAATAAATTGATAAATAAAGTGTTTCCTATCACATTTGTTTTCATATTAGCACATTTTCACATTAACAGGTTAAATAAAACTTAAAAACTCTAAGTACTGGCACAAAGGTATTGGAAGATTAGCTGTGTTGCTGCTTTTTAGTTCTTAAGTTAAAAAAAGTTTTCATAATTCTTTAAAAATATTTTAGCAAAATTAAGTTTTGTGAAAACAATGTAACAAAAAAAAGCAGAGTATGGGTTTGATTTGCCTTCTACAGCCTTTTAAAGGTATCAGTCCTGTTTGTCATTAACATGGCCAATAAAAAAACATGTCTTGGAGCCCAAAATTCACTCTTCAACTCTTAGTATTAGAAAGACTATATCAAGCAGGTATCAAGCAAGACAATATAGGTAATCACCTCCATCCAAAGGTTTCCAAAGGCGATTTTCATTTCAGTCTCCAAAATAGAAGACAAAGCTTCCCCTAAGCTTTTTTCAAGGTTAAGAATGATGCTTGAGAATGGATCAGGAAGATTACAATCTTTCTTTACTTCCTGGGAAACAGCATCTGTCAAGTAACCACAATGAAAAGTACTTAACTACTTATTACTCTTGGCAAACTACTAGGTCTATAACTCAGTGTCTTGTTAGTGCTGAATTGTTGCCTGTAATCTCTTTAGCACTCTATCTTCCAGTTTTAGGTTTCTCTATCACTTTTCTCTGTAGTGCATTGGGAGGGAGGAGGAAAGGGAGGGAGCAGGTACTGATTTTGAGGGGTGGCCATTAGGTAGCCAGTGCTATAGGGCTGTTCCAGCTGGTGTGCAGCAAGCCAATCCTCCAGTTGCAGAAGCCCAAGTCTGCACTGTCACTGCAGCAGTTGCAGCCACTGCCAGCATGCAAAGACGACAGGACATGGTATCGACCTGGAAAGATGTGGGCAGTGGAGTCCCACAAGGCTCAGTCCTTGGACCGGTGCTGTTCAATGTCTTCATCAGGGACTTGGACAAGGGCATGGAAAGCACTGTCCAAATTCACAGATGATACCAAACTACGGGGTAAAGTTAACACACCAGAAGGTAGGGAACGAATCCAGGCGGATCTGGACAGGTTGGAAAAATGGGTGGAACAGAATAGGATGCAGTTCAATATGAACAAATGCAAGGAGCTTCACCTAGGAAGAAGAAATGATCAACATGCTTACAGGCTCAGAGGGGGACCTTTTCAGCAGCACATCAGTGGAAAGGGATCTTGGAGTCACTGTTGATTCCAAGATGAACATGAGACATCAGTATAAAAAAAGTGATCAATAAAGCTAACGGCACTTTATCATGCATTAGCAGGTGCATGACAAACGGGTCCAAGGAGGTGATACTTCTCCTTTATGTGGCATTGGTCAGGGCACAGTTGGAGTACTGCGTTGTTTTGCAGATGTCGCCAGCCCTGTCGGCAGCGGGCGGGCGGGGGACAAGCACCGACCAAGAGTCGACAATCACCCGCAGACACTGCCAGGTTGATCACTGGCCACCCACACACGCTGCCAGCGGTGTCAAGGGGGTGGTGAGCGGTGACCACCCACAGGCGCCACCGACACTTTTCATGGGGGGGGGTGCACCACCACACTCAGGGGGTGCACATGCACCCCCTATGCATAAAAAATGAAACAGGCAAAACCCTACAAGGAGAGATTGAGGGCCCTGGATCTCTTCAGCCTTCGCAAGAGAAGCTGAACAGTGATCTTGTGGCTGCCTACAAATTCATCAGGGAGATGAATAGGAGATGCAAGGAATAGGAGATGCTCTGTTTACCAGGGCACCCTTTGGAGTAACTAGGAACAAAGGCCACAAACTGACAGACCAGATTTAGGTTAGACATCAGGAAGAACCTCTTTAAAGTAAGGGTTGCCAAAATCTGGAATGGGCTTCCAAGGGAGGTGGTGCTCTCCCTTACCTGGGGGTCTTTAAGAGGAGGCTAGACATGCTCCTGGCTGGGGTCATCTGACCCCAGTGCTCTTTCCTGCCCAGGGCAGGAGGTTGGATTCGATGATCTGCTAAGGTCCCTTCCAACTCAAACATTATGAATCTATGGCAGGAGAGACCCCCACCAACCCTTCTTCACGGTCAGTATAGTATTTCCTCCTTCTCCTGGTCTTCCCAGGGCATGAAAGGAGCTCACTCAGCCTCTTGACTTTTCTTTTTACAGGTCTCTGGGGATGCTCTAATAGTGTTGTCTCTAAGTAAATTCAGATATGTCTGCATAGTTTTCTCTGCTTTCTAACCAATAGTAAAGAGAAAACAAGTTGTTTATCAAGTTTCTGGTTATAAATTTATGTGATTTATATAAGTGGTATCAAAAGAATCTGAGAGAAAGAGATGAGAAGACTATCAATTTTGCATGTAGGCCTTGAAGTTCTGTGGTCCTCATCCATTATTTTCTGTAGACTGGGGTGTCAAACATAGGCTCCACAAAGCCCCATAAACCAGCCCCCCAGTGTTCCCCTCTTGACCCGCATGCTGTATGAAACTGGCCCTGTGCACAGCACCTAGGATGTGCACTGTCCATAGCACTCACTGGGGCTGGGTCCTGGGTTATACTGTCCACTCAGGCAAGCATCCCAGAAGAGCCCAGGTAGTTATCAATCATGCGCATTGGATCATGCTTGCAGGCAGGGGAGTCTGTGGGCTTTACCAGGCCAACAGACCAGCCCTGTGCCACGCATCCAGCCTATTGGGCAAAATGAGTTTGACACCCTGTTCAGAACTTCACCAAGTATCAACTCAAAACTTTCATTTTCTTAAGTTTTCCCCTGTTTTTCCAATTATACCTTCTTTTTCTTTTTAAAAAGTCTCTGGTAAAGACTACCTAATTTCCCAGATTATTTTTTCATGATTCTACTCCACATTTTATTTAAGCAACTTACAACATCTTTCTAAAGGTAAGTACAGCTCTGACTAAATTATTTAAGTTAAACTAAATCCATTGCAACTTTGCCCATTTATAAACAAGAACTCTACCCAACACTCTTGATTACAAACAACTGTATTTGTATCTTAAGCAGTAAGAATTGGCCACCTGAGTGTTAACTAACAGCATTATAACCCACTGCTCAAAATGCAAATATACGTGTTCACATTTGACAGTATTAGGGAGTAATCTTAGCATTTATATGCTTAATTCTTGGTGCTAGTGTTACCCTGTTTTAAAAACAAAAGAAAATGGAATTTTAAAATAAAATAAAAGCACGTATTTTAAAACAAAATAAATGGAATTTCCTTTTCTATGGACATCTTGGTACTTACTTGGCTGGGAAAATTACATGTGAACTTGTAAAATTAAGTGTCTGAAGGAAATAAACTTAAGCTCTCCAACTTTTAAAGAAAACTAAAAATTACCTTTGGGGAACAGAAATTAGATTTTCAACTCCAATGGTGAATGGTTCAAAAGATTATGAGAGCAACTGTTTTTGCAAACTTATTTGTGATCAACATGCCTCACACAGATGTTTTCACATACACACACTAAAAAAACTAACCAGTTTCTGACTGCTGCGGGATGTCCTGATGGCTATTCAGATTGTTCGCATTGAGGTTCCGGAGTGCAGCAACCAAATCTGTTTTGCATAATGCCTTGACTTCACTCACCAGAGCTTTGTTGCACAAATTTTTATCATCCCTGTGAAAGACAATTATTTCTGTTTTGACCTACTGCTAAGTTGCACTTGGAAAAACATTTTTATAAATTAATTTGTATGCATTGGTAAGCTTGTCTTCATTAAACCTATACATACTTTGAAGGGGTCGATTGTATGTAAAAATTACTACTTGAGAAATGGTGGGAAGTTTAAGATGATACTTTTTGACTTAACAGTTTAATTTATGTATTCTGAAAAGCAGTATAGAAAAAAAAACACTTAAAACTTTATATCACATTTTAGGCTCGATTTAAACCAGAAGAGCACTGTAAACATTAAACTGCTTAATATTTAAGAGCCAAAAGGAGATCCCAAAACCTCACAGGTTGCCTTTAAACATGATTTAGCCCTGCACAACTTGTGGATGAAGGAATGAGATTTATTCCACCATATTTTCTTGCATACAACATGCCTCCAAATAAGAGATGTACCTTGTTTTTGAAGGGCAGAATGAAGCGGGGAGGGGGGGGTGTCTTTCTTTGAAAATACTGGCAAGTATATTTTCCCTGGGAGACAAAAAAAACCACAAAAAAACCCAAGAAAACAGGTAGCTGCAATAGAGGGGAGCAAAAAATTATGGGTGCTCTGTTAACTTCCTACATGCAGAATGTCGCAGGTGCTGCTCACTCAGCCAAACTGTTCTACCCATCTAATCTTCCTGACTTGAGCCAAGTAGGCAGCCAACAGTGCCTGCCAGGTCAGCTGAGGACTTGATCCTAGCCAGCCACCAGCAGAGTCAGCTGAGGATCCACTCAGCTGATTCATCAGGAGCCTCTACCCTGGCATCCAGAGCTCATCTCCACTTGTAAAATACAACAGAGCAAGCCCTGGGTGTTGGCACAGAGCCTCCAATTTAATATGGAAACATGGATATAAAAGTAGTCTCTGTACTGATATTTGTAACTAGATTTCTACTAAAAATGTAACAAAAAAACTAGGCAAAAAAAATAGAACAAAGGTAAGCCCTTCCCCTATTCACCAACCTCATAACAAATCTTTACCACCAGTTCACTTATACTCCATACCAAACATGAGAGAAACTAAATATCGAACACAGCAGTTTTCAGAAAATGAAGCATGTCAAGTCATTTATGCATAAAGTGAAATAGTGAGAAAAATCACTTCCTAAAAGTCTACAATTTTTTTTAATTCTTCCCTTACACCTTAAAAAAAGCATGGAGTGACTTTGCTGCTTAAAAAGAAAAGTTTCTTGCAAAGCCAATCTAAAAATGAGGGATCAGGAAGGGTTGTCAGATTGATATTTGTTCTTATCCTCACATATACAGACCTCAAAAACTAAACTGCATGTTAAACTCACGTGCACAGTATGACAACAGCTTGAGGGAAGAGGCTACGATACTGCAGACAGCATTGCAAAACACGATCATCATTGTTTTCATCACTCAAGCCATCTGCAAGATTAGCAACACAATGACTATATGTTTGGAAATAGCCTGACATGAAATATTCTAACGCGTTTAAAATATGGTATTTAAATGCTATATTTGTTCAAGCAAGGGGAAGAAACATGAACTAAGCATATGTCTGGAAGCTGATATTTCATGGGTTGCAGTCTTAACTGCTCATTTCTTTATATGTAACTTCAAGTTACTTACCAGCTCTCAGCATGTTTAGGTCAGTAGTTAAAGAGCCAAGAGTAAATACACAATCCATACCTAAAATAATAGGATGAATTAACTCCCGACAGGTTATCTATATAGTTTAGAAACAAAGCAGAAATTGCTTATTACAGTGTTCTCAAATTTACTGATGAAATAGTAAGGAGTGAAGTATTTATTATGAAAAGGCATTACTTTGTTAGCCATTCACAAATCTGCTGCTGATTATAGGCAGTTTTGATTGGACCTATGAAAGATGGTATTATGGTTGCTTGCAGACAGTAAATAAAAAATAAATAAATAAATAAATAAATAAATAAATACATTTTTTTAAAGCACTTCAAATTCTGCATGCTCCCGTGCATGCCCAGAAGAGGCAGCGCGTTAGCTGGACCCAGCTCACCTGACATCTGTATAGATCAGGTGCTGTAGTGGAGCTTTTATCTAATAGCTGATTGAACTAGCTTAAGATAAAAGCATCAGAAAGCCCCACGGAAGTGCCTAATCTATACAGACACTGCAGAGCCAGGTCAGAGTAACGTGCTGATTCTTCTGCTAAAGCGTGGTTTGCATTGGTTTTGGTTTTTTCTTTTAATGTCTGCAAGCAGCCTGTTTTTCAATAACCCACAAGAATATATACCTATAACAGAAGACTGATAAATACATTAGGTCTGATTCTATCCTCTATTACAGCAGCATGAAACAATGCAATGGGGGAGAATCAGGCTGCTTATGAATTGGTCTGACAACTTCAAATTGTTAGCCAATTTTAATACAGTAACTGCAGTCAAACGGATTTTATGAAACCCAGTAGCAGGTGCTAAAGCTCACACTAACCAAGCTGTGAGGACCATACAATCCAGAGATAAGTTGACTCTGTACATAACTTACATATTTTTTGAGAAGCAAGCTGCATAGATTGTCCCCACAACTTTGAATCTTGGTTTTTGAGACAAGTGTAGATGAACTGAACTGCAGGGATAGCTTTGTCTCGAACATGTTGGACCATCTTCCCTTTCTTCAAGTTGTCCAGCTCTTGTAGAACCACCCAGGGAATTATCAATGCAAGTCTGCCAACCCCTAACAAAAAAAAAACAAAAAAAAAAAGTTTCTGAACTCCCAGTTTAACTAAAGTAAATTTCATTTAATGCAAACACCATATTTGTTTTCTTACATAAAACAGCAGATTTCTACGTTAGTTGGTAAGAGTCATCACCTTCTGTACTCAAAAAAGTGATATGGCATTTAAAAATAAGTCTAAATAACAAATTTCCCTCTTTATAATGTTAAATTCAATCTGGCATTCGATGGGACATTTGTAAAGTAATTATGAGCAAATTTGAGAACAAATTTGTATCACTATACAACATTTTGACAACATTGTGCGACAAACAGGAGGAAGTTACCACAACGATTAATGCCAGATTATATGCTCACTAGGAAATACTAAAATAAAGCCACAGAGCAGAGGGGAAAAAAGTAAAAAAGACTGGCATTATACAAATCAGTGATAACACCACCAGTCATTCACATAACCATTTATCCGTATTAATTCAACTTGAATAGTTTGTGACATCAGCCTACATTCCTGTAACATGGGGGAAAAAAAAAAACAATGAATACTAGAGTAAGGTTTTATTGTCCTATATTTCATGAATATGTCAATTCCTTTTAAACCTTTCTGTTCTTCAGCTGCATTCACATACCTGGTATATCTTCAGTTTTCAGAGTCCTGATAAACTTAAGATGACTAATCATTATGTTGGTGTCAATCACTATCAAAAGGTTCAAACCAGAAGTCATATCTGCTGAAGAAGAGAACGTGATTATAACAATTCATTCTTCCGTGATCCTTGCCCAGGATATTTGTTACTTTTAGTGTTGTCAAGGTAAAAGTAGACACCAGAGAAATCTCAAAATTCTTGCAGATAACATACCAGCAGAAATATTTGCATCTTGTTCTGGAAGATCTATTTCCATACTGGTTAGCTCTCCACAAGTCTGTACAACTGGCAAAACCATCTTTCTGTCAATACGAGCAGCATGCAAGTCTTCTATTATCTGCATCTATTGTTAAAAAAAAGAGACTCTGCAACACATACCCAAATATGTAAAGTCCAAGATACAGTCTAGAATGAAATTTAATTTGCAACCACATTTCAGTATGAAGCTGATGGGCTCGTTCTTCTCCTGACTACATAGGCTGAAAATTCCCTGCTAACTACAATTCTTAAGAAATGGATGTCCATCTTCACTGAAAAACTAAACAGATGTTGGAAAATAAAGCTGTTGTGGTCTGCATATAAATGCAAGGCCCCACAGCTAATAGAAGATGAAAAACTAAGCTGTGACATGTAAGTATGCCTCCATCAAGCACTTCCTGAAAAAAACAACCTCTAACTGGGTTTGTATTAGTACTTGAGAGTATAGAGAGCCATCAGGAATAAAAGATACCACACCAGTAATATAGAACATCATCCAAGGAATTACATGACCTCGAATTCATACTTTGACAACCAAGCTATTTAACAAAAATACTATGGAACAGGGGTGGGCAAAATGTGGCCCGCCAGGCCATTTTATCCAGCCTGCAAGGCCCCTAAAAAAATGTAGAAAATTAATATTTATCTGCCCTGGGCTGCCTGTCATGTGGCCCTCAATGGCTTGCCAAAACTCAGTAAGCGGCCCTCCACCCAAAATAATTGCCCGCCCCTGCTACAGAATTACTAACCTCTTGGTCTGTCTCTGAATTCTGACTGGCTTCAGGGGAGGCAGAAGAACATGGAACTTCAAAGCTCTGTAGAGAGAAATAAAGGTAGAAATACAAAACTTTTAGAGAACTTACTGATTCTGAATTTAACAAATCAAATAGATAACTAAAAAAAATATTTTTTTTTCTGACTTGGTGAGAAAATTAGTATTCATGTATTCTAGTTTTGCAATAGCATTACAAAAAGACTATGTATTGCAATAGTATTACAAAAAGACTACTGGTTTAATGAGATCAGAGTGCAGGAGACAAACATTTACATTTAAAAAGCCTTTTTAGAAACATTAAAACCTTTTAATCAATTTAGGGTTACAAGTCGCCAGAAGTGTAACAAGATGTCCTGAAGCCGATCTACAACTATAGTTCAACCCTGATGTATACCACCACTGTGTTTATTTCAGTTTGTGCAAATTCAGCTGAGAATCCCATGGATTAAATCAGGCTCAAATTCATCTTAATTGTGGCCAGACCAACTTGAATTCAGATATAAAGCTGAAACTACCATAAAACAAGCATTTATTTACTACTAAAATAGCCAGAGTCTTTTTACTTCACCTGTTTTAAATGTAATGGTTTAACTTCAAGGTTCCTTTTTTCAGTCTTTGAAGTACCAGCAGTTTTGTTGGACTCAGCCTGCTGTTTTGTCTGCTTATGATATTCCCATCGTTTAGGTATTTCAGTTGAATAACATGATGGTTTATATTTAATGGCATTATGATTTTTGTTAGATAATTCTTTGCAGCTTCCTAGACTTTCTTCCTTACATATCGTAAAGGATGAGCCCGATGCATTACTGGGGGGGCCATCAACCTTAGTCTCTGGAAAGGTAGAAGACTTTTTTGGAATTCTGAAATCATCACTGCATTTTTTTGAGCTGTGAGACTTCTTTCTTAGTAGATGCGGCTGGCATGTAGCAGTCGTGAACTTTTCCAACATAGTCTGCTCAACTCTAGCCTTCAGTTTGTTGAGCTCAGCTTTCTCTTTCTTCTTCTTCTTCGTTAGCTTGTCCTTTTGGACAGCAAAACTAGGCCGTATCTTTCTCTCTCCTCTTCCCTCAAAGTGCCGGTCTTTGTTACAGCTTTTGTTGCTATCAGGGACCACACCAGAATCACAGGCATTTTTTTCATGTTTAGTGTCTTTATGCTTAAATTGTATAGTTATCTTCCCACGCTTCCCAGATAGGATTGAAGAATCATTGGTGGTTTTGGTACTGTTTGAAGACTCCCTCTGGAATCTTTCATCAGTGCTTTGTGAAACAGAACTTTGGTTTTGCTTCTCTTTCACACTATTATCGACTTTGAATCTATGGAATTGGCACACAAAAGTCACATTATAAACACGCATGTTACAGCAGGGCTATTCAACTTGTAAATAGCTGCAAGCCACACTGCCCCACCCCCATGAGCATGGAAGAAAGTTGAAGCTCAGAGAGGGAGACAGAGCTTGGAGCTTCCAATAGCCCTAGGGTGTGGAGCAAGCAGCAACAGCAGTAGCAGGAACAGACAATACAGGGAGGCAGCAACAACAGTAGGGAGTGGCACCCAGACCTATGGGGAAAGACTGGGGAGCTGAGGATCTAAAGGCAGCAGGAGCCAACAGGCTGCAAATTGGAGCCCACAGGCTGCCAGCTGAACAGCCCTGTGACACTATACCTAAAGCAATAGAACCAAAAACTAAGGGAGCCTGTACACAATTATTACTATACATTTATAATTCAGGCTGTTTGAATTTGGAATTTCTTTAGCTGACGATAAATTCATGGCAAGCTGTCCTTTAAAAGTGACGAGTCTTACTTATTTTACACCATGTATAACTGCTAGCTGTCTAATGCTGGTAGATCTTGTCTGTATAATACCAGCAACTAACTCCAGGGATTATAACATAATAGTGCCCTCAATGGTGCAGAAACGAAGTTCAGTCTTGCTGCACTGATGAGACAGAACAGCACTTCAACCACATTTCTGAGCTGTACGCGGCCTGCTGAAGTTTAAACACACAGAAGCTAGATTCCATCTGCACTGCACTGCAGAATGTACAGCGCTAGTTAGTGTCGACCTGACATTAGCCTAGCTATTTACGTCTTACAATTCTGGTTCTGCACAAATTCTGTCACAGCTAAAAGTCTACAACAAATAATCTGAAGTGCTGCATTTTATGGTAATAGTGTTTTTACTTTTTAAAAATGTATAAGTTATTGTAAAGCATTTTGAAACACTCCTCTCTCATGCCTGCACTTGCCTCACTGCAGAGGGGTAAGGTACCTACAGTGAGGCTATGTCCAGGCCGCTTAGCTCTAGGGCAGGGATAGGCAATTATTTTGGCTGATGGGACACTTAATGAGTTCTGGTGAGCTGTTGAGGACTGCATACACAATCTTTCAGAAGATATTATTTTAACAAATTATAGATAAAGAAATTGTTAGCATGACAGTATTTGGATCTTGGGGAGCACTGGATTTGCAACTGAATAAAAGGCTATAACCTGTGGCCTAGCAAGCTGCTAACCACAAGGCAGAATGGTATGTTAAAAGTAACATTGCAAGACGCTTAGGCAAGCATTTTCCAAACAATATAGTATTGTTGTAAGATATATAGCTCATTGTGTAAGAAAAACAACATGCCCACATGTTGGGTCCTGGGAGCTGGCTGAAGGAGGAAGGGAATGGGACAGGGGGCATGTCAACAGAGCTCACCCAGGTGGTGAAATGCAGATTTAGTGTGGCAGAAGGCCACTTCTTTTTCCCCAAAAACTATGCTCTGTGACAATTTGGTTTGTATGGGCCCTGCAGAGGGTACACAGCTTACCCTATCTCTTTAGGTAACCTGAGCTAGATACATTCCTGAGGGAGGGGAACAACCTGCTCCCTCTACGTACGTGACTGGCATCACATACCTGGGTGAGAGGCTTGAGCTCTCTAGTGGGCTAGAGACTGCAGTCTGCCCAGCAACCAGTGATGCATTTCAAACTGGTTGGCTGGCAGCCTAGGAATAACCTGCTTGGAGGCATGGAAGCGGAAAGGGATCTTGGAGTCCTAGTGGACTCCAAGATGAACATGAGTCGGCAGTGTGACGAAGCCATCAGAAAAGCCAATGGCACTTTATCGTGCATCAGCAGATGCATGACGAACAGAACCAAGGAGGTGATACTTCCCCTCTATCGGGCACTGGTCAGACCGCAGTTGGAGTA